CCTCGTGCACCCCGGACTGTGCTGCAGTTTGGACCACGTTCAGAATCTTCTCCCGCAGGCTACCACTTCGCCCCGCCCATTCCTTGTTCCAGGTGGCCCTGGTGTGTGTGTGTGTGTGTGTATGTGTGTGCATGTGTGTATCTCTGGGCACACACGTGTGTGTGCATGTTGGCGTGCTGTCTTGATGCCGTCCGTGTAGAGTACTTAGGAAGGGACGCAGGATCTGTCGCCCAGCCTCCCGGCCACAGCCGAGACGAAGCGCAGAGAGCCTCGGGGGCTCTGAGCCCCCAGAGCGCCCAGTGTGCTCGCGTGCATCCGCTCCCTGTCGTCACATGGGACCGTTTGTGGGCCTCACGCCCCGTGCCTGGAGAATCCACGTCCCCCCTGGGACCACGGAGCCCCCGAGAGGGCGCGGGACGGGGGCCGCCGTGCCCGTTCCCCGTGAGTTTCTACGTTTGGTCACCTTTCCTTCCCGGGGGCTTCTGTTCTCAGTTTTGCAGCTTCTTCACCCAAAGGCCACAGAAGTAGACGTGTGAGAGGCAGACTTAAGTGGTTTCCAAGAACAGGAAATTAGCAAGCGTGGGTTCTTATGCCTGATGATGTGAAAAATTAATGCGAGCGATTAAGCTCCGCACTCCAGGACAGGGCTGGAATTGATGGCCTCACTTCGGGGTGGGTTTCTTTGAACAGAACACCAGATGGAAGAGACTGGAAGCCCAGGTAGACTCGGCACTGGGGAGTGCTTGTCCCGGGGAGCAGTCGTCCCCGGCCACTCCGGGATCCCGGGTGCTCCGTGCTGTTGGCGTCAGTGACGGTCGGAGGCTTCGTGAACGGCCGTCAGGAATGTTGACAGGTTCTGGGGGTTGCATTTAGGGACTTGTGTCAAGGCAGTCTCTGTGGTACGAGAACAGGGTTCTCTGATGCACCTGTTCGTGTCGTGGTGGGGACTTGGGGTGCTCCAGATAAAAGGCTTCGGCAAGAGAGGGTTCACCGCTGGGTGAAATGTGCCGAGCACCCATCGTCCAGCTCTCCCGGGGAGCTCTGTGCCCCCAGATGGGTCTGCCAGCCGGCAAGTGCTGGGCTCAGTTTGGACCGGGTGCCTGCAAGTGCTTCCCATGAGCCCTTGCTTCCTCCCGTGAGGCTGTGCGGGCGACTCTGGAGTCTGGTCAGGTCTTACTCATTGTCCTGATTTTGCAGATGCAGGGGTGGGAACGGGGCAGTGCCCAGTTCACATGGCTGGACTTGAGCAGTTTAGTTAGTTTTACAAAAGATTTGTCTACTTTAAAAGTCACAGTTAGAGAGGGATCTTCCATCCTCTGGTTTGCTTCCCAGATAACCCCAATGGCCAGCACTAGGCCAGGCGGAACTCGGAAGCCAGGAGCTTCATCTGGGTGTCCCACGCGGGTACAGGTGCCCAAGCACTTGGGCCTTCCTCCACTGCCTTCCCAGGCCATAGCAGAGAGCTGGATCAGAAGTGGAGCTGCCGGGACGTGAACCCGTACCCATACGGGGTGCCAGCACTGCAGGCGGTGGCTTTACCCCCTGAGACCCTGGACAATTTAAATAAACAGGAGCTGCACCTGGTGTGTGGGCTGCGGGCAGGCAGGCAGTGTTCCATGCTCTGCTGGCCGAGTCCTGAGCCCTTAGCGGGCAGGCGTCTCACCGTGCGACCACGCGGACACTGGTCTTCCCCGGCCGAGACCTCGGCTGCGCACATGGGCCGCCAGGCCGCCTCTGAGGACGTCCGGGTGGCGTCTCGGGTGTGCGTACCAGTAACGATCGGCGGCGGCTCACTTTTCACCCAAGACCTGAGGAAACAGGAACACTACTCGGAGTTCTCACGGACAGTATCGAGGGCCAGGTGTCGAATCCTCGCGGGGTCTCTGGGCTCCGTGAAATGCCTCACAGAAGCGGCTTCGACCCCTAGACACCCGTGAAGTGCGCATGGTTGTGTGCATTTCATAGATGAGCACAGGGCCAGTGAAGGCGAACTGCGTGGTCCCGTAACTGGAAAGAGGCAGCGCCGCCCCCGGGAGTAGTTAGTCTTCCTTTAGGACGAGGAAAAGCAACCTTGTGACTGCTTTACAAGAAACGTGAGTCCATGGCCGGCGCCGCGGCTCACTAGGCTAATCCTCCGCCTTGCAGCGCCGGCACACCGGGTTCTAGTCCCGGTCGGGGCGCCGGATTCTGTCCCGGTTGCCCCTCTTCCAGGCCGGCTCTCTGCTGTGGCCAGGGAGTGCAGTGGAGGATGGCCCAGGTGCTTGGGCCCTGCACCCCATGGGAGACCAGGAGAAGCACCTGGCTCCTGCCATCGGATCAGCGCGGTGCGCCAGCCGCGGCGGCCATTGGAGGGTGAACCAACGGCAAAAGGAAGACCTTTCTCTCTGTCTTTCTCTCTCACTGTACACTCTGCCTGTCAAAAAAAAAAAAAAAACGTGAGTCCAGGGAATCGGCCGCCTCTGCTCCTCCTGTGGTGTTGGGACGCCTTCGTGGGATTCTTTGAATAAGTCACAGACGCTCGCCGCACGCTTGTTGTTGAACAAGGGGCTGCGTTTGTTGAGAATCTGACTGCAAAGTTCCAGCAATGGCGAGGAACGGCCGGGGCACATGGCCCGGCAGGGGCTGCATGGGCGCCGAGCCTGGACTCTGCCTGTTCCCCTGCGGCTGTGCCGGGCGCGTGGCCGGGAGCCAGGAGCCCCGGGAAGGAGGAAGTGAGGAGGCGTTGCTGCGTGCGCTGTGACGGGCAGGTGGCCTCCCGGGGGGGTGGGGGTGGGGGGGGCTGATGAGCAGCTCCTTGTGGACAGGACTTCTCCGTGAGCATTCTGGACCAAGGGCACCATGATAGGGCTTCCAGGACTGTCTCCTCCCCTCGGCTGTCCTGGGTCACGGCTGAGGTTGGCGCAGCACCTTGGCAAGGTCTGGAAGAGTGTGTGGTTGACCGTCCGTCTTTGGGTAGCGTGTTCACAGAAGTATCTTCTGGTGCCGGCGCTGTGGCGTAGCAGGTGAAGCCGCCACCTGCAGTGCTGCATCCCATATGGGCGCTGGTTCGAGTCCCGGCTGCTCCACTTCCCATCCAGCTCTCTGCTGTGGCCTGGGAAAGCAGTGGAAGATGGCCCTGGTCCTTGGGCCCCTGCACCCATGTGGGAGACCTGGAAGAAGCTCCTGGCTTTGAATCAGCACAGTTCTGGCTGTTGCGGACACCTGGGGAGTGAACCAGTGGATGGAGGACCTCTCTCTCTCTCTGCCTCTCTTTCTCTCTCTGTGTAACTCTGACTTTCAAATACAATAAATAAATCCTTAAAAAACAAGTATCTGCTGCGGCTGTGGGTTGAGGTTCAAAGACTGCTCTTTCCCCCCTTGTCTGTTCAGGCTCACTGTCCCCAAATCTCTTCAGGGCAGGTGGTGGTGGGGGGGAGTGTTTAAGAACAGGAGTGTATGGCTCACGGTTCTGGACTGCCAGCAGGTTCCCGGGTGTCCCGCGAGGACTGGTGGCACAGGTGGACTGCCGCTGTGTGCTCGCATGGCTCCTGAGCAGGTCCCTCACTGTGTGCTAGCGTGGCTCCCAGGCGGGGGCGTTCACTGTGTGCTTCCATGGCTGGGGGGTGGGCGCTCACTGCAGCCTCTTGGACGTGGTTTCACGTGGAACCCACGCGGCATCGTCAGCTCCCAGGGCTCCTTCTCAGTGCTGTCCCGCAGGCGTGAGATTCCCACACGGACCCTGGAGCAGGCCCTGCATTTAGGCCACAAGAACAGCAAGAGGCAGGACTTTAATGAATCCAGCATTAGTTGATCTGTCACACAGCAGACGGAATGCAACTTTGTAAATGTGTTTTAGTTTATTGAGTTTTTAATAGGTTCCGTAGAGTTCATGGAATTCTGAGAATGTAATGATGTTTTTAGGAAAGGACTAATGTCGGTTTCTGTTTTTGCTTTTTGCACCTCGCAGGGCCTGCAATTCGGTGTTCACCGCCTTAGACCACTGTCACGAAGCCATAGAGATAACGAGCGACGACCACGTGATTCAGGTAGGACGGGCCCCGCGTGTCCTGGCGGCCCCACGTCCGCTCCAGGCGCTTCTTGCGCTGCGGGTCCTCTAGGGAGGAGACGAGCGCGTGGGAGGCAGACTGCAGACTGGGCCGAGAGGCGCCTGTTCGGTACAGAACAGAGAGGCTGCGTTCGCATCGGGCCTGCCATTCCCCGCGGAGACGGGGGAAACCTGAGAAAGCCCGTGAAGACGGGGTGTACAGAGCAGTCAGTCACGTTATGAGTGAACGCCTACAGACACCCATAGACACCCACGCAAGCCGAGTGTTCTCCAAGGTGCTCATTAAGGGAGGGCTTCACAAACTTCATGGAAATGCGTATCGTGCACAAACTGCGTGAATTTGTCAACTTTTTACAGATCAAACAAAAAAAATGCAACTCCACTTCCCACGGGCTTTGTAATTCCCTCACACCTGCCTGCACTTCATGTTTTGTATTCTGACTACAAAGCCCTTAGAGAAACGGCATCTTCAAGAAAAGTATGTGTGTCGCGGAGAACCTTACTGAAATAGGACAGCTTCGGTGACTGAGAAAGACACAGTAGCTGTGCCAGGTGCTCAGAGCTGCGGCTAAGACACCCGCACCCGCGTCGGAGAGCCTAGGTTTCATATCCGGCTCCGCCCCGGCTCCAGCTTCCTGCTAACACACGTCCCGGAAGACAGCACCGGTGACTCGGGTGATGGGGGTCCTGTCAGCCACATGGGGACCCGGATTGAGTCCTGGGTTCCTGGTCAGGTCCTGGCCAGGTCCTGGCCATTGGCAGGCACTGGGGAGGACGGGAAGGCACACGGGAGCATTGTCCTTCTCGCCGCCTCTCCTTCAGAAACATATAAATCACGTGAGAGGCCCCGCCCTGTAGACTGGCCGCCAGGCGCTGGCTCCGCGGCCGAGCGGCCGAGCAGCCATCAGCACCCAGGTGCCCGCAGCAGGAGCCCGCAGCTGTGTCTCGGGCCTCTCGGGCTCACACAGACTGCATCACTGTCCCCAGGCTCCTGTGAGGGTGAGGAGAGTGAGGCCCCTGGAGGCCGGCGGCCTAGGTCAGAGCCAGAGCACACAGCGGTGCCTGCCTCCCGGACCTGCCGCCCGCCTCCCCTCCGACTCGGGTGCCCCTCAGAGGACACCTGGAGGCTTCCTCTCCTTGCTGACCGTCCCTGGCCCCCTGCCCATGCCGTGGAGAGTGTCCGACGTGGTTCCCTCCCAGAGCCCATGGGATGAGGCCGCAGCAGGATCTCACTAGGGCACGGTGCTGCCCGTCCGGCAGAGGCGGGGCTGGCCTCCTGCATCAGGTGAACTTGAACTGTAGGACAAGGCTCCATAGCCCGTTGCTCAGGGCACCGCCTGGTGCTTCCTACTGCAATGAACGAGCACTCGGAAAAACAAGGCCCGAGCGAGGGAAGGAGGCAGACTGGACAGGGGGTGTTGTACGTACCGGAGGGGGCACTCATGACCCTGTGCTGTGCACGCCGAGGGTGGGCCTCTGTGGGTGGGCTGTTGGATGCCTGCTCCTGCTGGCCACCAGCGTCTTCCCCGGATGAGGAGCTGGGCACCTGCTGTGAGCCCCACTGCACAGCGGGTCACAGCACGCAGAGTTTAGGAGTGGTATCTCCGTGTCTGTATGTCCGTCCATCCGTCCGTCCATACAGCCATCCAGTCTCCCTCCCTGCCTCCGTCTGTCTCAGCTACCCGCGTGTTGGTTTTAGAACGTGACACGGCGCTTCCCCAGTCCCAGGCACATTTTAAGCCTCCTGCCCCCACTCGAATATTCCATGTAGAAGTCCTGAGTGCGGTGCTACCGTCGCAGCCGTGTCACAGATGGGAACCTGGGAGGAATGGAGAGGGAAGGTTGTTTGCCTGCGGTGACTTAGCTTGGCCTTGGCTAGGATTTGAACTTGGTGCCAGGCCTTACCTGTGGTTTCTGCTGATTACCAAAGTCCAGGAACCGTGGCATGAAAGAGGCCATGAGTTCTAATCACGTACGCAGCCTCACGGGGAACACAGAGCATACACACGGGAGGATGACTGAGGGGTGGCCTTCATGCCTCCTCGCACGGTGCCTGGGTTCAGTCCCCGGCTCCAGCTCCAGACGCCAGCGCCTGCTGATGGTCGCCCCAGGGAGCAGCGGTGACGGGTCTCTGTTATGCACAGGGGAGACCTGAGTCAAGTTCCTGGCTCCCAGCTTCCACCTGGCTCAGCCGCAGCCAGTGCGTGGAAGCTCACGGTCTCTGCCCGTCAAACGCTAATAGAAAGCATGCTTGAATGACAGCCACAGGTGAGGAGGTCAGCACACTGGGACCAGCCACAGACAGCCCTGAGCTTCCCGAGATAAACCCGCAGCCCCTCTGCCCGTGAGGACGTGATGTCTCGTGGGAGAGACAGACGCCAGAGCTCTCACTCCTAGCAGCCGCTGGAGCTGCTTGCAGGCTGGGCAGCCCCTCACAGGAGCACCCCTGCAGTGGGCAGGGCCCGGCCAAAGCCAGGAGCTTCTGTCTCCCACGCGGGTACAGGGCCCCAAGCACTTGGGCCACCCTCCGCTGCTTTCCCAGGCACATTAGAGCAGGGAGCTGGAGCAGGCGGGATTTGAACCGGCGCCCGTATGGGATGCCGGCACTGCAGGCCGGGGCTTTAACCCGCTGTGCCGCAGCGCCAGCCCCCAGCTTCCCTCTTAATCTCGTTTTATGCACACGCTTTCTGACGTGCCCTCACGTGAGCCGGGCCTGTTGAGCCGAGCTCTCGTTTGCCGCTGTGTCCTTTCTGGGTGGGCGATGGTGGGCGGGGACCTGGGGAGGTGGACAGGCTGCAGGTCCTCCCGGCTGCCCCCAGGGCACGGGCAGCAGCTGAAGGGGTCCAGGCTCCCAAGGAGGAGCTGCTGCCCCCGGAACTTCCGGTGCTCCCGTGTCGGGCCCTGCCCCTCGCCCGCCCGCACTGACGAGCCCGCTCCCCCGCAGTATGTGAACCCCGCCTTCGAGAGGATGATGGGCTACCACAAGGGTGAGCTCCTGGGGAAGGAGCTGTCCACGCTGCCCAAGAGCGACAGGAACCGGGCCGACCTCCTGGACACCATCAACACGTGCATCAGGAAGGGCAAGGTGGGTGAGCCGCGCCCTGCGGCAGGCCCTCCGAGGCTCCGCCCCCGGGCTGTGCCCCCGTGGCTGGGAGACAGTGTGATGCCTGCTGGAGGGCTTCCCTGCTGGGTTGACCTTGGGTCTCAGGTGCACCTCGCGGTTTAGGGAGAGGACCCTCCTCCCTGTGTGGGCCTGACCCGCCTGTCACAGGCATCACCCCCCGCCCCGAGCTGTGGTGGTTGCTGATTTGCCGGGGTGGGGAGACTGGAACGCTGAGTGTCCGGATTCACAGGCAGGCCCGGGTTTGTGTCTGCTTTGGCTCCCTGTTCTCTTCCTCCCCTCCACTCCCTGTGCACCTGCAGCTCCTGGTCCCGCTCCCCTGCTCCCAGGGCATCCACCGCAGCCAGGGAGGCCCCCTTGGGCCCCGCTGCAGCGCACAGGACCTGTGCGGGTTCTAAGGTTGACCTAGAGGGAGCCCTTGACCTGGTCCTGGGTAGAGAGGGCTGACAGAGGAAACTCAGCCCTCCGGTCACATGTCCTGGGCCCTCACGGAAGGCGGGCTGATGTGGTCTTGTCTCCGTGCCCTGGGGCCCTGTCGGCCTCACGGGGCGGGGCGGGGCGGGGGGTCCAGGACAGCTGCCAGGGTGTGTGATACCCACGGAAGCCTGTGGGCACGTCGCTCCGCCCGCTGAGAGCTGGTGTGCGGCTGGAGGCCTCCGTGAGGGTCCTGAGAGCCCCCTTTGCCCCCACAGGAGTGGCAGGGCATCTACTACGCCCGGCGGAAATCCGGGGACAGCATCCAGCAGCATGTGAAGATCGCTCCGGTGATCGGCCAAGGCGGGTGAGAGCACACTGCCCGTCTCCGGCCGACACGAGGCGGGGCCCTCCCTCGTGGGCACGGGGTCCGCGGAGCAGAGCGCACAAATACGTGGACAGTGGGCGTGCGAGCTGCACACCAGGGCACCTGCAGCGGCCGAGGTGGCCTCGTGGTCTCGGGGCCTCCGGGAAGCGACGCTCACTCCCCTGCCAGCCGTCACCTGGCTCCGCCTGCTTCCCTGGGGCCAGAGCCCCCTCTGGGACTCGGATTCTGGCAGGTTCATCCCCAGGAGAGCAGAGGGCCTCTGGCTGGGCTGTGGCCTCCCCTCTCTGCTCCGGGCCGTCTGGTTCTCTGTGCTTGTAGCTCTCTGCAGGCCGGGTCTGGGCTCGGGCCTGCTCCACGCCAGCTGAGAGAGCACAGAGGCCGCCATTACAACGAGACGGTGCTGGTCTCTCCGTCTCTGGCCGCGGTTCTGTGGGTCCCCCAGGCACGCGTCGTCCACGCCAGCCCTGTGGTTGGGGTCCTTGGCCCTGAGTGGTCCTGGTTGACCTGAGGGAAGATGTGTCGCTGCTATTGGGGTCACTTTGTGTCAGAGCACAAATGGCAGTGACATTGTGTGACGTTTGCAAAAAAGGACCCCACGTGGTGGTTGTGCCAATAAGGGAACAAGAGTGTGAGAGAGCTCCCCCCGCCCACCCCCACGCACCACCAGCACTACGATGCGTGGCTCCTGGGGCCCCGAGGTCCTGGCCGTCGGCTGTGCGGGCAGGAAGCCAGCGGTCCCTGAAGTAGCGGAGAGCTCGAGTGTCCCCTGTTGGGTTGGTTTCAGGACTGCCCTCCTGCCAGCTCAGACCGCTGCCCTTGAACTCCCATCTCGTCACTGGCGGCTCCCTCGGGTCTGTCTCTCGGGCTGGGGGCGCCCACGGGCCTCTGCGCGAGGGTCTCAGGTGCGGCAGGAGGCTGCCCGGGCCTTCCTGAGGGGCTCGGCCCCGCTGTTCCACCAGCACTCAGACGGGGGGCCGCATCGTGGCTGCCCTGTTGTTTCCATCGCCGGCCTTGGTCCGTGTCTCAGGAAATCGCAGCCGAGACCCACGTGGAGTGCAGAACCAGCAGGTTCCCAAGCCCAGAGATGATGCCCCACCGGCCAGGGTAGACTCTTCTGATCTTTCCCGTTTCATGGGCCAAAGACTTCCTGTGTGATCGCCCCTGGTCAGCGGGAGCGGTCAGAGGCCGCTGTGACGACAAGCGGGGACTTGCTACGTCTTCCCACTTGAGTGAAGCTCCTTAGGGAATAACCTGTACTTTGTGTGCTCTCTGCGGAGTCCTCGAGAGAAACTGAACCGTGGGGAGGGGAGAGGGGAGCGGGAATGCCCCGGCTGCCAGGTGCCGGCTGTGACGTAAGCCCCGGGCTTCACAGCTCTGGAGTGTGGCTTTGAGCCGGTGTGTGGCACAGGGGTGAGGTCCCTGTGGTCTTGCCCTTGTGGTGCTGAGCGGGACCACGGGCTGAGGTCCAAGATCCTGTCCTTGACCTTGAAGCGAGAGGGTTTTTCTCTGAACAGTGCCATCCTCTAACAAGTGGGGTGTGAGACAGGGCGGAACGTTTAATGTAGAAACAGCGGCCGTGAAATCTGGCCATCGCCCAGCCACGTCTCATCCTCCTCCTATAAAACCCCCAGTGCAGGCAGACTGACCGCCAGACTGTGGTCACGTCGCCCCGCCCCGCGGGCTGAGGGCTCGTGGGAGCTGACCTGGGTAGCTGCTATGAAGTGGCGTCCACGGAGCGCGGTGCTTCTGGGCCAGCCCCGCCCAGGGAGGCCGGCTCTGAAGGCACGAGTGGGTTTGGTGTGGAGGAAACGGTGTTTTCCGTAGGCTGCGTTGTGCTTGGATGTCAGCTCTTGGTTTTGCTTGAAGCAGGCTCTGTCGGTGCTTTCGTGTGCTGAGAGGTTGAGCCACTCCTGTCTGACTCACTAATAACTGTTGTCGTCCGTAGGAAAATCAGGCATTTTGTGTCCCTCAAGAAACTGTGTTGCACCGGCGACAATAACAAGCAGGTACAGTAGTCCCCTCGCTGCGTCCGCTTCGTCAGCCGGGCATGCGCTGCTGTCTGCACTCTCCCTCCATCCCGTCCCACAGTGGCCGATGCCGGGCCCGCCTGCCACGCGGGCGGTCTGTGAGCGACCCTTCGTCCTCCAAACAGGAAGTCTGTCTGCCAGCACAGCCCCCTCAGCAGAGGGGAAGGATTGCGCCCACGTGAGTGTGTGGTTGTGGCACATCCGTCCCAGAAGCTAGCATTCCAGACGAGGGCTGGCGTTGCCCGTACCCTGACGTCACCGCGGTACCTGGGAGAGCCGTCCCCTGAAGTCACAGGCTGTTAGTGAGCTGCCACACGAGGGGCTTCGGACGGTTCCTGGGAGGGTGAGAGCAAACGATGGCGCACGTTGGGGCTGAGTCCGGCTTCTGCCGACGCGCACCCTGGCAGGCAGCAGGTGACGGCTCCGGTGGTGGGAGACCGGGCTGGAGGCTGCAGCTCCTGGCTCCTACCTGGCCCAGCCTCGGCCGTCGCAGCCATTTGGGGCATGACATGGCGGATGGGAGACGTCTCCGTCCTCTCCATCTCCGCCTTTCAAATAAATAAAAAATGGAAAATTTTTGAAAGATACTATTTAGAAGATAGATATTTCCCATGAGCTCTCCGAAGTGCCCTTGTATTTAACACCCTTCACGGGCGGTTACGGCAGTAGCATTGGTAGAGGCCCTGGGCTGTGTGCTTTGTCACCGTGTGTCTCGCCTGGGCGAGGTCAGGCCTGGCCAGGGAGGAGGGGGCTCTGGCCAGGGGTAGGCATGGGCCGTCAGCCAGGCACCCTTGGTGGCTTCCCCCTGAAGCGGCCTGCAGGGGTGTGGGCTCCGCGTGGCCAGGGAGGGCGACAGTGCCGCCTCCAGAGAGACAGTGGGCTCCAGCGGCCAGTGCTGCCCCTGCGCCAGGCTCCGGGGCTGTTGGCCTCTGCATGCCAGAGCAACCAGGGGAAGGCGCCATCCAGAACAGGTGCAGCCACACCCCTGCCCCCCACCCCGGCTCTTGGAGTCCAGGGACCCCGTCTCCCTGCAGCTCTACATGTCCAACTCAACGCAAGGGCTGTGTCCCTTCTCAGCCCCACGGCCATCTCAGCCATCTGGTGCTGCCCCGTCCCGTCCTTCCTAGGGTGCCCACACTGCCTGGCGCACAGCCGGCCCTCAGGCTGGGGCTTGTTGTGAGCACAGTGGCGTGATGCCAGTGGCCAGGGAGGCTGAGGAGGCATGGCACTGGAGGTGATCAGCCGCTCCAGAGCCCAGCCTTAGGGCCATGACGTCAACTAACTGCACGGCACAGAGCCCCGCCCCAGCCACTGAGGTCATCTAACAGTGCAGAACTCCGCCCCTGCCCGCTGATGTCACCCAACGGTGGTGCACTGTGCTCCGGCCCTGGCCAGTGACGTCAGCCAGGTGTGCTGCACCGGAGATGTGGGTTTTCCTTGAACAAAGCGTTGCTCGCCGGGTGGCTGCAGAACGGCACCTCCACATAGGAGCAGGTGACAGGTGGCCATGGGGGCAGTGCTGGCGAGGGTCCCCGACAGGAACAGCTGTGTGCAGGGGAACCTGGGGGCACTGCTCTCTGGGGGTCAGCTCTGACATCAGGTTGGCGTGGGTTTGTGTTTGAGCAAGGAAAGCTGTGGGCAGCAGGACAGACTGGCACCAGGGACGCAGCTCCCTGCCCAGAGGCTGAGCGGGTCACAGCGAACCCCAGGTCCCGGGAGGCAGCAGACCCTGGCCTCCAGCCCAGAGTGGCCTGTTGAAGGGCAGCGTTCCTGGTTCGGACCCCTGTGGCTTGCCCGTCTGGAAGGCGTTTGCTTTGCTGAATTGCATGCATGCGGGAGCCGCAGCAATGGTCCCACCGTGTGGTGCCGGCCCTGGCGCCCTCTGCCTCCATACCAGGCCCTGGCTTTTGCCTGGTCTCCCGCTCAGGATCCCAACCCAGAGTGAACCTTGCTGTGGGGATGACAGAATCCGTACGCGGTGCATGGGGAATGGAGACTCCTGGCACCCAAGGCGCCCCAGCTCCTCCTCTGTGGGCCTGGAGCCTGCCTGTGGGGGGAGCCTGGTCCCAGCAGGGGGCTCCTGGCTGTGCTCCTGGAGCCTGAACCCCACGTGATGTGGGGGTGCACCCTCCTGGAAGCTGCCGGGCAGGGGATGGAGGGAGCCGCCCTCGGGAGGCACGGGCGTGCCTGGCTGGGAAGAGCAGGTGGTTGTGGGAGCACGGCCCACCCAGCAAGGGTCCCCCTGCTCTGCGGGTCCTGTGCGGAAGGCACCGCGAGGGTGGGGGCGGGCAGGGCGGGGCTCAGGGCAAGCGTCTGCTTTCTGCTCTTGGACCCAGAACAAGGCTGGAGGGCAGCAGGAGGGAACCCTTCAGGCCTGGGGCTTCCCCGCCTTTGGGACTCCACTGACCTCTCACCAGCCTCGTAGCGGCTGGGCACGGTCCTCGTGTCTGGGATGCAGAGTGGACGGCTGGGTGCAGTCCTCATGTCTGGGTCATGGAGTGGACGGCTGGGCGCAGTCTTCGTGTCCGGGCCGTGGAGTGGACGGCTGGGCACGGTCCTCGTGTCTGGGATGCAGAGTGGACGGCTGGGCGCAGTCCTCATGTCCAGGCTGTGGAGTGGACGGCTGGGCTCGGTCCTCGCGTCCGGGCCATCCGGGCGGCAGAGTGGGATTTGTGCTGAGAGCCCCGTCTGTAGCAGCTCTGTTGTCGGCTGTGGGTGGGCCAGCTCAGGGTCTTCCTGCCTGTGTGACACCAAAGCAGTGGCTCCGGGTGACAGCCGGGGAAATCGTGGTCCTGGGCACAGCCTGGTGTCACCAGTGTGTCGGGGACAAGGCTGCCTCACAGTTGGGGCTGTGCCGCCCTGCAGGGGTCCTGGCGTGCAGCCACCTGCCGAGCCTGTCACGGGTGGGCGTGACTGACATGCTGTGCCCCACCTGGCGGGACCACGCTCACTGCCCCTCCTGGCTGGGCCCAGGGACCCCGCAGTTGGGGTGCTCAGTGCTCCAGGAGAGAGCCGCCTCTCGCCGTCGTGTGCACTGTCGCCTCTGGCCATCGCCTGTGAGCTGCACCCACTTCCCAGGTGCTCTGAGGCCATCCATCCCATCCTCGGCCCCCTGGCTTCGGTCCAGGCCCCACCCGCAGCCCAGCCTTCACTGCCCTAGGCCTCTGCCTCCCCACATTCGGAATCCACAGCCGCTTTTTATAACACACTGCCCACGAACTCTCATGAGACCCCTCACGTGTGCGGATTTCAGAGTTTTGCACCAAACCCATCTTTGAGTCGTGTTTCCTGTGGGCTTTCTGAGGCCGTCACGTGGCTGCTCCCAGGGCCGCGTGTGGTCACAGAGCGCACGGGCTGCCTTCGCCCGGCTGGGGCACAGGTGCTGCCGACTCCTTGGACCAGGGCAGGAGGCTGCTGCAGCCGGAAGCGTGAGCCCAGCCGTGTCGGTGAGAGGAGTGTGTTTGGTCAGCGCCGCGGGGTCGGCACACTCACAGCAGGTGCCCCGAGGGTGTGCTGCTGTATTCGGTAAGGCCACTGCGCAAACAGAGTTGTCCTGACTTTCCCGCTCAGCTTCAGCACGTGTTCACAGGAGCTGTGTAAGGAACCCCTCTGACATCACAAAGCCACGTTTATTTTCCCCCAAGAAGCCGCCGTTGGAACAGCAGAGTCCAAGCAGACCCGCTGAGCACCTGTGCCTGCCGGGGCCCGAGGGAGGCGCTGACCGCGCCAGACAGGAGCCCCCGCGGGACGGTGAGACCGAGGCACGCCCTGCGCTCTGACAGGACTGCAAGCACGGAGGGAGGTGCGGGGGACCTCCTCCACCTGCTCACAGTGGCTCCGGGAAGCCCCCGGCTGAAGAGCAGAGAGTGAACTGAGAACATTGTGGGCACAGCTGGCGCAGTGTGGCAGGGGCTGCCTCCAGCCACATGGACACACGCGCCCTTGACCCAGGCACAGAAGCCCGGCCCCTCCTGGCCGGCAGGGTGGCAGGCCCGGCGCTGTGTGGCCTGGCCAGCCGTGGGTTTCTTGGCGTTGTCTGTCCTCTGAGCCACAGCAGTAGATGTCTGTAAGGCGCCGGGTGGGAAGAGGAGGGGAGACTGAACCTGCGCTGAGCGGCCGTCGCTGCCCGCGCACTGGGGAGGACCCGAGGCCCAGTCGGTGGGGCCGTCTGAGTCGAGGAAGGTGAGACAGGTTAGGTCAGGGTGCTGAGCTGTTTGCTGACAATCGCTGCTGGTCTGTCCACAGTTAAGACAGTGGGGGCTGAGAGAGGAGGGGTCTGGGTTGGAGACTGGGAGGAGGGGTTTCCCCTGCACCGCGCTGCGTCTGGACTCGGCTCACCCGGGGCGCTTGGCTCTGGGGCCTGAGATGCTGCAGGACCCTCGCAGTGGCCTTGAAACTGTGCCGTGTTCAGCCGTCTTGCTGGTGGCCCACAAGGGGTCAGGCCAGGCCTGGAGCAGGCCGTCCAGGGGCAGAGGCTGAGGGTGATCCAGGGGCCTGGCGCCTCTGCAGTGGTCGGGTTCCGAGGAGGGCCTGCTGGGGAGGGGCTCCTCCCGCGTGCTGTGTGGCCGTGGTCACTGCTGCGTGGACACATATCAGGAAGAAGGTGTTGGGACTGTGGCCTCCCGGGAAAGCACAGAACAAGAATCCCCACTTAGGAAGGAAAGGGGAGGGGCTCAGCTCCCTGCCTCAGACCCCACCCAGCGGCTGGCTGCGCCGCTCTGAGGGCAGAGCGCGTGCCGTGGGCCGGGAGTGTGCGCCCAGGAGTGCTCCTTCCTCTGCTGCTTCTGCCCGTCACCCCCACCTGAGTCCCGAAGACCGGCTGTGGCCTGGGGAGCCTGGCCTGTGCCCGAGGCTTCTCCCAGCGCGGAGTCACAGCCCTGGGCGAGTCCTCCGAGCGCCCAGCACTGCCACCCACCCCACCCACCTCCGGCTCCTGTCCCTGGGGGACAGCCTGCCCAAGCCCCAGCCAGGGCTGTGGA